AGCTTACCTGAGAAACGGAGTAACATAGGGGTGAATGTGTGATGGTCTTCACATTTCTCCTGCATCAGAAAGATTTTCCTCGTACTCGGAGATCATATCTGAACCAAGACTAAATGTTCACAGGTAAAGAACCGGTTCGGATAGTAATCTCCTGAAATGTTCGAACTCAGGGGGTCGTATGATGCAACCTTGATCTAGCAGTAGGTCAATTCGGAGCACCGGCATATGAATCATTACAAGGACAACTTCTACATCCCAGGAAGAACCGCTCATGTCTCCGTGCTTCTGCTGAACAGGAAAAATTCAGGATCCTGGTCATATTTGAAACAAGTACAACTGAGACACATCAACCATCAAATGGTTCAATAATGGGACCTTGATTGAGATCAGTTATCACATGCATCAATATCACGGAGCGATGAAGGCCCCAGAATAGGCGACTGGGTAGAACCTCATTACCATGCCAACGACAGTCACCTTATACAAACCTGGGGCTATTTTGGCTGGACAACCTCATATCGTTCAGTAAGTGCAAAACTCGGTAGCAGTTGTGCACCATGTGATTCGTGATATGATCCAATATATCCGAGCGATGACACCTACCGAATCCCGAATCAGGAGCAATGATACTAGAGCGATGCTTTACGGGGCCAAAGAGCTGTACGCCGTCTGAGGTATATTGGCCGGGCGTACGGGATCACGAAAGACAAATCTGAAACATATTCTGAATCCTCATATGTCACTACCTGGCACTAAAAGTGACAGAGCTCTTCTCGGGCTGAAGCTTTGACCAAGTGGCTATGATGCTTGAGGAGCCGTTGAATACTAGCTGCCGCTAGTCTGAGACATGAATGATCAGTTAATGACGCAGTCTTATGGAGCCGCTAGACTTGGGTTGCGATAATCGATTATTGAGCCGAAGAAACGCACCCGACTTCTCGGTAGTTTCATTAAGCATTTGACTTTGGATGGTGCAGATCAAAGTCGACATGGACAATCAAAGCCATACTGTCCTTAAGTCGTATCGATTGCTGCAAATGGGCGCAAATCTGACTGCAACAAGATGCCATCAAACACGACTCTATGATTCGAGTAATAATAGGGCGCAATAAGGCTAACTCCACAGTATCCCTGCTTGATTGATGTTTGAAGTCGAACTAGAGGTCCAAGTTCTCGGAATAATAAAAATGACGGTTCACTTCAATGATCATGAGGTTGTTCAATATCAACAGTGTTTCAGAGTGACTGGATAGCCACGTGGAAAAGATGACGGCTTGCTTTCCACCTTGGTAGGAACTGGAGATGAAACCGTGCACAGGACACTTGGATGAATGGAGTCCGACAATCACAACCCGGAGTCAGTAGTTGCTTCGTACTCCAGTGGAGAAGAAGCAGCGCTTACCATTTATAGTGAAGCAAAAGACCCATTGAAACTGGGGATACCTCGTAATCTCAGTCACCCATGAAGGTGTTTCCACAGAATTCAAGGATAATAGGATATCATCTCTTCATCAATCAAGACGATCAGGTTGATCAGTTCAGGAGAAGATGGCCTGGGGACGGCATGTTACTGTCCGTTATCTAATGAGCAGCAACAACACGTGACTGGCTCTGAGTCCTAGAGTTGGAACTAGCGGCTTAGCATCTCTTCTGGTGTGTTTCAGAATATGCCTCCCAACTTCAAGAGTTCCAGTTAGCGCGCACTATTATTGATAAGGTCGACTAGTTTTCCTCTGGCCTGTTTCAGAATTCAATCCCACAGAAGACGAATTTCTTCATCTTTTGTCTTTCTCTGAATAAACCTGACAGGTCAGCGGGAGATCTCATCTTCGCGACGATCAAACAAGCAACGTCTTGATATCTACTTTGTAGATAGAGGTGGAACATGGAACTAGGCATTCCAGTCGGGATTCAGAACGTAGCCTCCAAGTTTCCATGTTGTTTTTGTTGCGTGGTCTGAGCATCGAATTACAAATTGTTAGCCTGGTTTTCCCTCCTTGGCGATTTGATCAGGAGTACACCATATTGCCTTACAGATTCGCCTTCCAACGCCGCTCAGGGGCGCGCGTCTAGGACGATCTCGAGGAGATCCTATGGTAGGATGGCCATTTCTTATGTTTCACGTTTATTCAGAATCAGCTTAATCAAGGCACCTGGAATAATTTGCCCAGGCAGCGGTTACAGAGCCTCTCTCCGGATTACCAGCTGCCTAACTAGGTAGTACCTGAGTTTGCGCAATGTAGTGAAGACGATAGAGAGATTTAGAGAGTGTTCATTAATCTGTACCATTTTATTGCACGCCGATATATTTCCAGCTTTAATTGTGCGTCTCCTGCGTCAATTCAGAACCAGTTCGATTCGAGCCCTGAATAGAAGCAAGCAGCCGCAGAAACCAGGTGACCGTGCACAAATTAAAGCGGGTCAGATGGGCAGCAGATTTGGAATTCATCAAGTCTGGCTTTCTGATAAATACTCGTTGATCTGTGATTTCTGTTCGGAGAATTTCTTTATCATCTTCAGCAATCGTTCTGTGCTTCTTCTGGAAAAGGATCTTTCTGCTGGTTGCACGCCCGTACCTTCTTCGAGTTTCCTTGACCATTGGCCGGAAAAGGGGAGTTATTGGGTTGCGTGCTTGCTGGGGATGGAGTATGGAGCCCATGTTATAACAGTAGGTACTCGCTACTACTCCGTACAACCCGTGTGCAAATGAAAATCCTGTCCGGATCTAGTACGACTGTGGCATAGACCCATGTTGAGCCGTGATACCCCAATTCAAACGGAGAGGAGGGACTTTGAGCGTTTTGAGGACAACAACACCAGGATATCCAAATAGCATTTGATTTGTGTTTTTGTTCGATAATTGACTTTGTCAACTACTGTTTGCTACCAGCGCAACCCTTTGTTCTGAATATTTGTCATGGCCCTTTTATCGATCTGTCTATTGGGTTTGACATCTGCCACGCCGTCGACCTTTCCCGATCTTGTTTTTTACTTCCTTTGTCAGTCTGGCCTTTCAAATCTTTCGCCCCAGTAGTGCCGATTGTGGAGCCCGTTTGTGTATTAGTGTTGCACTTGCACCAGACCCTTGACTGAAGAAGGAACTTCAAACAAGAGGGAGAACCGAAGGGGCAGCCCGAGAACCTAGGTTTTCGATTTTTCGAAGAGAAACCCGAAACAAGGAAACTATCGATTCAGGGATACAACGGGTATCAGCTCCCTTCACCGGATTGGTGTGGTCTGGGATTCTTGTTTACATAGTCAGATCCTCGAAATGTTGCATCACAATTATGCTTACCCACCAGCCCCGGTTTCAGTACCACCTTCAGCTAGACATAACCTGAATGACCAAGGAGACTAAAAAACTTGATGAGGAGATGAGCAATACAGATACAAACCGATTCATCCTCAGTTCCGTTGTACAATCTACATCAGACATAGGACAAACCAACTAGCTGATACGCTCGTGTTGGCAGGATCTAGTAGGTAGTATCTGATTTGCGAGCTCTTTGGCGCCCATGCTGCACATACCAGCCTCCCATATCAAGCTGGGCGGCTAAATTTAGAGCTGCAGGCGCTAAATGTCCCGCGGTACTGCAACCTGATTGGTCTCCCACTTCAGGCTTACTGGGGTCAATCTGCGTCTGCTCCACAGCTGGAAGTATTTTGATAGGTTGTCCATTAGAACGCAGCCCGCCATCCTGCCGGGGCTGTTTCCAATCACTTTCGTCTCCTTCCCGTTGGCTCAAACCGCTTGCTCCGGCGTTGTTTTATTCTTAGCGATCTCTCTTCGTTTTATTAGTATTAAGGTATGGATTTTTATTACTACTTATTATTTATTTTTTATTTTTTTTGGCCCTCTCTACAGTTTTATGATGGGCTTTCTGTGACTACTGAGGTAACAAGTCGTTCCTCCTCCTCTGCCCACACTTATCGCGGGTCATTGTTGGAGGAACCTCTTTCGTTTCCCTTTCGTTCTCATCTCTTCCCTTCTCCTCTTCTCTTCTCTTCTCTCCTTCCCCTCCCTCCGTCTCCCCTCTTCAATTGTCTTTCTCCCCTCCCTCTTGATAGGATCCTTTCCTACATACTCGACTCGCCCCTCGATCTCTCCATCCGGGTTGTGGGCAGTCGGTCTTGTAGCCATTCCCTACCTTCCTTCTCCTTGAGCTCAGACCTGGGATAGTACTTTCGATACCCTATTCATTTCGTCATTCCCCGGAGGAACGACTGCCCATAGAAGACACCGGGCGGCAATTCTCTCCCCAGTCCTTTGCCAAAGCTGAACCGATCCCTAGTCATCTTTATTACTATATTCTCTTGCAGTAATCCTTGAAAACGGAGCAAACTGCTTTGTCCTTTATCCTTATTATTCTCTGACGGGCTTGGTTGTTGTGGCTACTTTGTCCGGCTTTCTTCCTGTTTCACAATACAATCCTTTACACGCTCGGCATTGGCATATTTCAAAGAGGAAACGGTCCTCTTGTGGCATTCCTTGGTATGTTCAACATTGTCTCAAGAGTCAGTCCCTCCGCCCACTGGCCGGCTCATCCCCTCTCTGTCTACCTACCTCGCTTTCTCAGTCTCTCTTTCAAAGCATTTGTTCCTTTGCTCGCCTCTTTAATCTTCGCTTACTCGTCCCTCATGGAGTCAATGGCTTTTTGATCCCTCTTTCTCATTCTTCAATAGCTTTTTTGTTGTCGTTCGTTCTATACTTCAGTCTGATCGTCGGCCTGGTCTCACTCCTTGCAGCCGCGTTTGCTTCATTCTTCCACTTTGGGATACTTATGTTTTGGTAAAGCGAACGGAAGTTGGGAAACATGGACGCTGATCGCTCTTCGTCGAAAAGGTCGTTTGCGCAGGTAGCAAGTGCGACACTTCTTTCCTTTCAGCTGTCTGGATGCAATCAGTGTACATCAGTTTTTGCACCAGCACCTCGCGAGAGCTGCGATCCTGAGAGGGTGTCCCCTTTCAAACGCAGATCCACTTCAAGGCCTTGGTCCATCATGCCTGTGCAAACCAGCCCACCGTCACTTCCGGACTCGTTCCCGTCCTTGATGTCGGTATTCGGTGGAATCTCGCCCAAATTCGCCGAGGGAGAGGAGCATAGCGCAGCACTCAAACCTCTCAGGGTTCCTCCACATGTTACCGTCAATACATCTCGGCGACCACTTCCCTTTCGGCACCGGACGAGTATCTCGTCTGTGACTTCGGGATCCACGGATTCGTCTCCTACCACTACTATCTCGACGTTCGACTCTCCATTGGCCGCAGACACCACCCCCAGCTCTTCACCCGAATCTCCGTCGGCGATGCCGTTGTCGTTTCCCAAGTTCATGCCACCCTCGCGCAATATTGAACACCAATCGCTCTCGGGAGAGCAAAGTACCATGTCAAAACGCTCGCCGGATGTACTAAGCCGAGCGCGTCCGGATTCTCCAGGTCGGCGGGCGCGCAATCTCAAGAATCTTTCCTTGAGAATGCCTCCGCCATCGCAATCGTCGCGACCAGCGATCGCAACAGCCTCGGTAGTTGAGACAGCCTCCCAGCGCAATCTTTCCGCCCCACCCTCCCCCGCGCATATCCCTCCCAAAAGCGGCCGACGAAAGCCTGCAAACCTAACTATCCAAACTCCTGGGTTTGACAGATCCTTCTCCAGCAACGTTATGGAAATGGTCCCACCAACACCTGGTGGCCTCCATTCATTGAGACACACTGAATCTTCGCCTTCTCTGACTTCAGTATTCTCGCCGTCTTTTGGTCCCAAGGGAGGCATGCAATTGCCGCGACCAGTGACGCACCATGGGAGCCGACGTCCGTCAGGAGCTTCGGAACATAATCTCTCGCCCCTTCAGTCGGCCGTCGAAGACGGCTCACCTGCGGGTGGAGTCCTGCATGAACTAGAGGAAGAAGAGGACCATCTGGACTCGAGAGAATCGACCCAGCGAAACGAGCGCGGCTATCCGAATGGCCCTGTGCAAATATACGATTCTGGAGTGTATCTTTATTTGGAGCCAACAATGCAGGAGGCTGCTCAATTCGATGTTGTTGTAAACGTTGCGAAGGAAGTTGCAAACCCGTTCGCTAATGCATGCGCGGATAATGGAACGGTGATGAGCGCTTGGCGAAGTGCCTCAGCCAGCGCCAAACGGTTATCGAGTGCAGAGCCGCCGACTGCGGTCTCGGAAGTTTCTTTCAAGTCTGCATTGGAATATCCCATATCTGAGACTGAGTCGCCGGTCACGCCCTGCAGTGACTCTTCCGGGCCGGAATATATCCACGTAGGTTGGGACCACAATTCCGAGATTTTGGACGACTTATACCCACTGTGCGAGTTGATCGATTCCCGTGTTTCTGAAGGCAAGAAGGTCCTCGTTCACTGTCAACTAGGCGCTAGCCGATCCGCCTCTCTAGTGATTGCCTATGGCCTTTACAAAAACCGGCACCTGGACTTTAATTCCATGTACGAGATCGTGAAGGGACGGAGTCGCTGGGTTGGGCCCAACATGAGTCTCATTTATCAATTGACTGATTTTCGCTCAAGGCTGCAGCAGGGTGGTGCCTCCAAGCCTGCGCCCGAGGAATGGTTTGTGCAGGGACCCCGAAGAGGCTCTGAACCCCAACCTTCGAGGTCTGGAAGGACAGCAGAGGCGACTTTCACGCCTCCAGGCGGTATTAGCTCCAACTCAGGCTACTCTAGGCTCGCAACCCCAGCCAGCCGGTCACAGACATCCTCGAGTACTCTCTCTGTGCCCTCGACAGAGCAATCCACGCCCCCGTCAATCAGCGGCTGGAGGATTCCCAAGTCTCTGTCTCACAAGCGAAGCTTGTCTCCTCGTCCTTTACCCCTTCGCCAGCGATTCGAAACGGTACAGACGGCTGCGAAGGATGATGGGACGCGCTCTCTAGCGCCGGCAGATGCCTTTGAAAGAGACACTGTCGAGGATCCGCTGGGTTTGTTTTCTCCACGGACGAGCCAATTCCTGGCACCGTCTCTTGCTCCTCCCTTCCCAGATGGGCTGGAAGATCGTCTTCCTGGCGGTCCTCATTTTCGGACAGAGACAGCAGACCCTCGGTCTCCCCCTCCTGGGAACGAGCGACTCATAATGAGGAATATTGATGAATTTTTATAAAAACTGCCTTAATGGTTTTTTTTTAAGACAGCCTGTCTCTGCCGTGATGCTTTGGGGCTACGTCGGAGAAATGATTCCATGACTTGATTCTTTTCATCCTTCATTCTTTGAGCATTACTTACTTTCGCTCCTCTGTCTCCTTCCGCGTCTTCGTCCCTCTACTGGGCCACATTCTTTCTCTCCTTGATCTCCAGTTTTCATTTATTGCCATTCCTTTCCACTTCCATTTGATCTTCGACTATTTACCCTTATGTTTCCTATACTTTGATGACTCGATGACCAAAGCAGGCTTTGATGTCGTGATTTGCATTCTTATTCCCAACCTTTATCAGCATTTTTTCCTCGACCAGTAAGTGACTGGTCGATTGGAGGGCTTATTGTTGCATTGATTCAGCATCGGCTCGATCTCGCATGCTTTTTATGGTCGAACGGCGTCCGGGGGTGTTTCAAAAAGAACAAAGTGCGGCATTTGTTTGCCTAATAACCTGTAATATTAGTGGTGTTCTGTGACTGAGAGTTTGCCATTGCTTCGATATTCGAGAAGCGTCTGGCGTGGTGCTCATCTTTGCACACTGTTGGTGTGATTGCATTTCAAACAACGGCGAACGCGGAATACCCATTGAACAGTATCCTTGAAACCAATCCATTGAATGGTTGTTGACATCCTTACTAAAGTAGATCCTTGACTCTTTCTGTAGTAACTGTTAGTAGACTTGTCCACTGTAGAGGTCTTATCCACAGCGGGCCGAAAAGCCCGAGTAGACGGGTACTGATTTGGCGCTTCACGTCATCCACTGATTTCAGTCCGTATCAACTTTTCATCGCCGCAGCTATAGACTATAGCAGCCATAGCATTGCACAGCGAATTCCCGCGCGCAGAATCATGGCAGACGAGAATCATCCGGCACACCTGTCTCCCAGCGAACTGGGCACGAAAAATTAGTAGGTAGCCGCACGAAATCAGCCTCTCAACAGATTTTCCCAGCCTACCCCGCGTACCCCTCCATCCGCATGTCAACAAGGGGAAAAAAGAAAAAAAAAAGAAAGGCAGCTCCACGAACAAGATGCATTTACTCAGATCCCCATTTCTATTGATTCGGATTTACCTCTCTTGCTAATTAATGCTCAATGCAGCTGGGAAACCTACTACGCCCGAACCCTMACCCACCTTTCGAGTAAACACCAGCCAAACGCGCGACCAACCCCCACCGCCGACGCGGATGTCGACTCCTCCGAATCCGAGTCAGAATCTGTTGACGACGATGACGACCCAGGCACATCCTGGTTCTCGGAGCATAATGCCCCCGAGAAAGTCCTCCGCTTCCTGACGGATGAGAGCTTCCCGCTCGCGCCGTGCAATACCCTCCCCGCAACAGCTACAACGAAAAAGCCGCTAAGCGATGAGGAGAGGCGCAGGCAGCCCAGCATTCTGGACCTGGGGACGGGGAACGGGAGTATGCTTGCGCTGCTGAGGAAGAGGGGCGGGTTCCGGGGGGGAATGCTCGGGGTGGATTATTCGGCGCGGAGTGTGGAGTTGGCGAGGGAGTTGCAGCGGTTGAAGATTCATTCGGCTTATTTGAGTGAGAGTGAGTCTGAAGGGGAGGAACAAGAAGAAGGGGAAGAGGAAGAGGATGTGGTTGTTTCGAATGGGGCCGAGACTGCGCAGGCGATTCCGGTCCCCGAGGAGGATAAGGATATGGCGATTCGGTTTGAGGAGTGGGATATTTTGAATTCAGAGGGGGAGTTGGACGAGGAGGGTCGGCTGGACTGGTTCCCCTATGCGCATGGCGGGTTTGATATCGTGCTTGATAAGGGGACGTTTGATGCGGTTTCGTTGTCGGAGGAGGTGGTGGTTGAGGGGAAGACGGAGGGGAAGGTGATCCAGCGCCGTGTGTGTGAGCGGTATCCTGGTATTGCGCGCAGGTTAGTGCGCAAGGGCGGGTTCCTGGTCGTGACGAGTTGCAATTGGACTGAGGAGGAGTTGGTTCGCTGGTTCACCAGCGAGGAGGCCAAGGGTCCTGGCTCTGACCGGTTGGAGGTCTGGGGGCGTGTGGAATATCCCAAGTTTAGATTTGGGGGTCAGGAGGGCCAGGGTGTTTGCACGGTGTGTTTCCAGAGGGTGGACTAGATAGATCTCTTGGATATATATTCCTTGTGCAAAACATTATCCATGACAGGCTAGTAAAAGGAGCTTTGCAGTACGGCCACAACACACCATCTCTTCCTGTTCTCCGGTGCCTCGCCCTCTCCCACAGGCGCCAACCTCTGCTGAGGTCTTTGCCTTTCGCTGTTGCCGAATTTGGATCCCACTCATGGATCCTTTCAATTGCAAAACCATTCTGCACTACATCTCAAAGAAAGGAACAATTGCTCGACCTAAGTGGAACCCAATAACGACCCAGGCCTGTTCCGCGGGATATTCTCATGATTAGATCGTATCCAGTAGCAGTCCGCGGCGGTACTACAGGTGAAGATACCCTTATCGCGAAAGCAAAAGAGTCGTGAAACGCCCCAGTGATTGACAGAAGCATCGGCCGTACTGATCTTGGGGATGATGGATGGTCTGCCGCGGTGACCCTCCGCGACAACTATACCTACACTCCAGAAGAGGTGGGTAAACAGTTTTCTCCCTTCCTCAACCTGATTCACTTTGCTTTCTTGCGATAAAGGCGCAACCTCTTTGTTCTGTTTTTCACCCTGGCTGGGTACAAAGAAATCGCGATCTCGAGGTTTCCATAACGCGGGGTGAGTAGAGCAGGTGTCTCCTGAGTGGCCGTTAAAGGAGGGCACATCGGCAGGAATAAATGGGGGAGGAATGCACTCAAGTCATCCTCGGATAGTTCTTCATTCCAGTTCCACTTCGCCTTGGAAATCGAGCGCTGGTGCAGAAGCTGAAGAAGATGATGGAGGACGGAGGGGTGCTGGGCGGGGAGGAGAAGAAGCCGAGAATTTTTGTTTTGAGCTGAGAAGTCAATTAGTTAAAGAGCAAATGGATTCGGTTTTGTTGATGAATTTGGAGCATTTCTCTGCTCCCTGGAACAAAAGCGGTAACTGAATGTTGTGCATTGTTTAGTTTGATGGGCCTATCAATAGGTACTTCTCGCTACCTCGTAACTGAGGTGGACTGAAAATGAAGCCTTGACGACCACAAGTCCGTTTAGCACAGATAAGTAATCAATGGGGTGTCTGCCTCGTTGATTGAGGAGAGGAATGTTGCTGGATGTTTTGTGATCATCAGTCAATTGGTTTGTGGTGCTAGTTGCCATTATTATCTTCATATCATAGTACCTTTTCCTCTCGGTCCACTAGCATGGGAAGTTCCTGGCGATCATGATAAAGGCTTGCTGATAGAGCCAACGTAACTAAGGCATGCTGAGCTAGGTAAGCAACGTGCGTTTGTGGTAAGCCAGGGTCAGGTGTCTCAATGGGTAATGATACCGGCATGTAACAGTGAAACAGACAGAGATACGTGTTTCCCTATCTGAAATGGGGTGAACACGGGGATCTGGTGTCCAACGTACTGTAAGGCATGCATGACATCATTTGTCTCTTCCAAAAGCCCTAGACCGGTCGATGGGAGAGCATTGCCAGCGAACCAGAGTACAATTGTACGGCGTCAGTGACCAAAATTACAGTATGCCCATACGTGGACTGAACAGTGGGGTCAACGTCTCATACAATCGATAGGATGAGGCAATTCCGATACGGGCAATGGGCGGTGCTGGTGGGGCATCTCTTAAGAAAGTCTCCGTAATTGAGTAAATTACCTGATTTATTACGCCTAATGATGTGATCGTCTACTAAAGTGCCCGTGCGGATGACAGGGCAGCTGATCTCTTGAGTCTTGCCCAGTTCAGTATTCAAGTTCAGATCATAATTGCCCTGCAATTTTTGACTTTTTATTTTTCTTTTTTGGGTTTCTTTCTGTCTGCTGGAGTTCCGTCCGAGTCAGTATGCCATCTAAATTTTGGACTCGATCTAGTCTAATGCTCAAAAATTGTTCTGGTCAGATATCATAGCCAGGTTCTCCCCCAGGATGAGTGATATCGGATTCCAGATGCTGAGTGGATCCTATTATGATCACATCACTGCCAACTACTTGCAACCTAAGTTATCTACAGCCATTTTTCCTTTGTCCTTGTAACTAAGGTAGCTGCTTGTATCTTCTCCGTATTTCTGCTGACTCTCGCCCTGTTTTGCCGCTGGCCCTTTCGGGCCCCCTTTAGTCAGGAACCTGTGCGATATCAAATCAAGTTGATCGGAACTCTTTTCTTCAGCCAGGGGAGTTCATCACTACTTTTTTTTTTTTTTTTTTTTTTTTCACTCTCCATTCCTCCCCCCTCTTCCTGTCAAGGTTCAGATAATTTTCCTGCAATATCTAAGCATCAGTCATCTTTCTTTTTACTTACTTATTTACCCTCTGATCAATTGCATTCCCTCTGTTCAGCTAATTGTTTACTGGCCTGTGTCCAGAACCCCCGCATCGCCTCGACTAGCGAATTTCCGCTGGAGCCAAAATTCCCCCCCGCAAAAAAGGAACCGACACTCTTTAAAGCACGTACAGTACGGAGTGCATAGAAACTATTTGTATTATTATTATTATTTTTATTATTAGCATTAGCATTATTAGTATTTAACATTCTTCATTATTACTAGATAGCTGTTTACCGTACGGTTCATGTTTGGTCTTTGACTCTATATCGCTCATTGATTATTATTAGTATTAGTATTTTATTACCTAGTGGATTACCTAGTTGCAGCAGCAGGTGGATTACTTCCTGACTTACTTATCCAAAGGTACCTGGACCTCCTCTTGCTGTCCACCAAATACCAAGTACCTACCTACAACTACTCCGTACTGCTGCTTCTCTCTTTCAGCTTCTCCTCTTTCTATCTTTCCTTTCCTTCTTTCCCTTTCTCTTCCTCCTACATTTCCTCTCCTCTCCTCTTCTCTTCTCCCTACATATCGTATCCTCCCGTCCTCTGGCATTCTCCCTACC